ATCCCAGCACTTGGAAGGCAGAGACAGGTGGAACTTGTGAGTTTGAGGCCAGCCTGATCTACAAAGTGAGTTCCAGGATGGCCAGGGCTGTTATACAGAGAAACCCTTTTTCAGAAACCTCCCATGTTATTTTAAACTTGCCAGATGGTGTTGGCACCCATCTTTAATCACAGCACTCAGGAGGCAGAGACAGATGGATTTCTGTGAGTTTGAGGCCATCCTGGTCTACAGAGCCAGTTCCAGGACAGCCAGGGCTACACAGAGAAACCTTGTCTTAAAAAACGAAACAAAATTTTTAAATTTTATGTGTAGATTTGCATGCCTAAGTATATGTATGTGCACCACATGTGTGCAGAAGCACATGGAGGCATCAGATCCCTCGGACTGGAGTTACTGACAGTTGTGAGCCAGCATGTGGGACTGGGAACCAAGCTTTTGTCCTCTGCAAGAGCAGTAAAGGTTCTTATCTGAAGAGCAGCCTCTCTAGTCCCCAGAAGATTTGCTTATTCACAGCTGCCTGTATCAAAGACATTGTTGCCATCTGTAAATAAAAGCCTCTTCGCTTCCTTTCGGTCTGGATGCCTTTCATTTATTTCTCTTGTCTAATTACTCCTTAGAACCTCTGGTCCCATGTGGATGGACAATGTTAGCTGTAGGCTGTTCACACACAGATTCCTAAGAGTTCAGCAAGCCCCCTTCTGTCCCTAGTTTACTGGCACAGTGATAAAAGAAACAAGTTGGGGGGTGAGGTTCTGAATCTCAGTTCAAAATGGACTTGAGATACTAAGAAGGTAGCACTGTGGTGAAAGCTCTCACCATGCAAGCATGAGGACCTGAATCCAGATCCCTGGAAATCCATGCAAATGCCAGGTGGGCATGGCAGCCTGCCTGGAGTTCCAGCCTTAGAAGGCAGATATGGATCCCCAGAGCGAGCTGGCTAGTGAGACTGGCCATATCCATAGGTCCTACTGAGAGACCCTGCCTTAATGACAAAGGTGGAAGAGTAATGGAGGATAGCTCCTAGCATCAACCTCAGGCTTCCACATGCATGGACATGTTACACTGTGAAGATGTATCTTTGCCAAGGCACCTTCTGATTGGTTTAATAAAGAGCTAAGTGGACAATAACTAGGCAGGAGGCATAAGTGGGAGGTCTGGGTACAGAGAGGATTCTGAGAAGAAGAGAATCAGAGAGGCCATGGAGATGTGGAATGAGTTGGACACACAGAATGAGATAGAGGTAATAGCCAGATGGTAGAATTTAGATTCAAAAATATGTGTTCTTTTTTTCTTCTTCTTTTTTTTTTTTTTTTTTTTTTTTTTTGGTTTTTACGAGACAGGGTTTCTCTGTATTGTTTTGGAGGCTGTCGGTCCAGCCTGGCCTCGAACTCACAGAGATCCGCTTGCCTCTGCCTCCCGAGTGCTGGCATTAAAGGCATGCGCCACCACCGCCCGGCTTTTTTTTCTTCTTTAAGTTAGAAGAGCTAGTGGGACAAACCTAAGATAAGGCCAAGTTTTCATAATTAATAATCAGTTTCCATATCATTATTTGGGACCTAGCTGGCAGGACAGAAAAAGACTCACTACATGCATTCACATGTGCACCCACACATGTACAAAAACATGCACATACACACTTGCATACCACATACCAAAAAACAAAATGAAAGGAAAGAAGAATGCACTTTGCTGCTGTCTGTAGTGGTCAGAATGGGAATGTCCCCTGTAAGCATGGGTTTTTGAACAGCTGGTCCCCAGCTGGGGTCACTGCTGGGGAGGCTTAGGAGCTATCACCTTACTGAAGGAAGCCTCCCACTGCTTCCAGTTCACTCTCTACTTCCTGTTGTGTTGAAGACATGCGCGCTCATCTTCCTGCTTCAGCCACCATGCCTGCTACTTGCTGACATGATTCCCTGTCATAATGGACCCTCATCCCCCTGGAGCCATACGTTAAAATAAACCCCTGCTATATGTTGCTTTTGGCCATGGTGTTTTATCACAGCAACAGAAAAGTAACTTAGAAGTTGTCTGGGTTTTGTTGTTGTTGTTGTTTTGTTTGGGGGTATTGTAGGGAAAAGGGACCAGTCAAAGAAACACACCCTGAGCAGAGCCCAAGAAAACACTTCGGCCCTACAACCAGAACCAAGGAAATGTACCCTGACCCTGAAACCAGTGCTAAAGAAACACACTTTGTCCCTGGAATCTGAGTCAGTGAAAGAAATGCACCCTGGCCCTAAAATTAGAGCCAAAAGGCTAAACAGGACCAGAGAAAGAAACACACTTTGGCCCTGAAACCAGAGCCAAATCTGACCCTAACCCTGTGCAGAAAACTAACCAATTCTTGGGCAGGAGCTCAAGCCAATCTGAGTTCAGCATTAAAATCTGACCAATCCCCACCCTGGAAGCCCTATATAAACCCTGTGTTTGTTCAGCTTGTGGCTGTTCACTCTACTTGGCTGCCCTTTGCCAGACTGGATTCTTCCCTCCCAATAAACCCCTTCGATGAGCTTTGGGTGAAGACATTCTTTTTGCAACAGCAGTGGAGCAGAGGGGATTCTGGGCAGAGCAGAGCAAGCAGGGCTGTAACACTCTTGGGGGGGGGGGAGACACCTTCCCCTGGCAGAGCAGAGTTGTTAACACTTGGCTCTCCACTCCCGGAAGCAGAGCTGAACTGTTGCAACTTCACCCGGGATACCTCCTGCCTGAGCAAAACTGCTACACTGGGCAAACATCCCCAGCTGCCTGCTGGAGCAGAGCTGATACACGGGGGAAGCCTTTCCCTGAGTCAGGGCTGTAAACTGCTATGCTTACTGCGGCCTGTGGTAGTCCTTGGCTTCCGAGCTCCAGGATACCTTTCCATCTGAGCTGTGTAGCACTCAGTATTCTGTGACTCCCGAGTGCCAGAATACCTTTCCCGATCCGATTCAACTGAAATGCCAACAGGTGTGAGGTAACCAGCCATGTGACAGAGTGTAAAGTTAAAATAAATGGGTTAATTTAAGTTATAAGAGCTCGTGGGATAAGCCTAAGTCTCCCTGGCGGTATAGACAAAGTCTTGCTACGTATGGCATCCAGCTTCCAAACACAGGGCCTGAGAAAGCTAAGAAAAGTTCTGGATGAGGACTTAGATGTAGCTTCCCAGTTCTGCAGTCTCTCAAGTGGGCTGGTGTTCAGCAGCATACCAATGCTTGGCTACCAGCTGCTGCCTGCAGGCTGGAGCCAGCTGCCAGCGCCACATACTAGCTCCATGGGCTAAGATGAGCCATGCAGGGGCTGACTTGGCAGTTTAAGATTTGTCTGACAAAGCCGGGCGTTGGTGGTGCACGCCTTTAATCCCAGCACTCAGGAGGCAGAGGCAGGCGGATCTATGTGAGTTCGAGACCAGCCTGGACTACCAAGCGAGTTCCAGGACAGCCTCCAAAGCCACAGAGAAACCCTGTCTTGAAAAACCAAAAAAAAAAAAAAAAAAAAAAAAAAAAAAAAGATTTGTCTGACACAACCAGAGAAGTCTACAGGTGCTTAGTAAAGCCAGGTGCAGACATAGAAAACCTTGTAAAAGGTACAGTATGTTTAAAAATATGCCTAGATGCTGAAGAAAGAAAAGAAAGTGAGTATAGACAGTCCTGGGAAAAAACAGTTTAAAAATAATAAAGTCTTTAAAGAGAGAGTAAAATCACATTTAGAAAAAAGCCACATAAAGATTGGAAATAAACAGTGCGTCTGGATCCTTATGGTGCTTTATTGACTTTGGATTTCTTGAATGCTAATAAACAGAGAATGTCAGCTGCTGAGAGGCATTAGATTGTGGAAGGGACAGATGAATTAAACCAGCCTATATACTTTAGGGATATCTTGGCTTCAGAATGGAAGTCGGGCAATGTGTTGCACTGGGGGAGAGGTTGTGCTTCACAAAAGAGGTGTAAAATATATAAGGTTGAGAGACATAAAAGCTTAAATTGTTTACGAATGTTTTGAGGTCTAAAAAGATGGTAATACAAGTTATGGCAGGTGGGGGTGGAGGAGAAAGGGAGGGAGAGGAAGCTGGGATTGACATGTGAAGCAAGCTTGTTTCTAATTTAAATAAAAACATCTAAAAAAAGAGATGGTAATACAAGTTATGATAGAAAATGGTTTAGGTATAAAACTTTAAACTCATCAAAATAAGATAGATGTTAGAATATTTTCTCCGAATATGCCAAATACAAATGCAGTGGGCATTGTGAATGTAATTCTTATCTGATAATTGTTCTTATTGTTTATAGTTTTATTGTGTTAGAGTTAAAACCTTTCCTTTTTATTTAGACAAAAAGGGAGAAATGTGGCATAGCCATTCATTCACATTGTGTGAAGATGTGTCACTATGATTGGTTTAATAAAGAGCTAAATGGCTAATAGCGAGGCAGCAAGAAGTTAGATGGGACTTCTGGGGACAGAGAGGGTTTCAGGAAGAAGAAAGGCAAAGTCCCAAGCCAGATGCAGAGAAAGCAACATGAGCAGTAAAAAGAGATAAGGCAATGAGCTGCTTGACAGACGTAGATTAAAATAAACGAGTTAATTTAAGTTATAAGAATTAACTTCAAGCTTTCATAATTAATGCCTCCATGTCATTATTTGGGAGCTGGCAGTGTATGTTCTTTTTACACTTGTGTCCTTTTTATTTTTGCTATTTCTAGCCATGTGTATGTATGTATGTCTGTGGGAGGGCATAAGCATGTGAGTCTGTGGAGGCCAGATTTGTTGGGTCCCCTGCAGCTGTGGTCACAGGCCACCTGATGTGGGCGCTGGAAACTAAACTTAGGTCCTTCAGAAGACCAGTGCATTTTCTTAACCACTGAGCCATATCTTCAGTGTGTGTGTGTGTATGTATGTATGTATGTACATACATATATATGTATGTTTGTTTCCTTTTGATTTCCACATGTTTATTGGGGGCAACGGAGGTGGGGTTTCTTCCATCCACAGGAGTATTCAGTGTTCTTCAGCCGTTCCAGGCTTGGGCCCTAAGGGTCCTGGGGGTGGCTGGGCACATCGGGCATGTTCCCATTCTCTCTCACAGGCACTGAGTAATTGTAGGGTGTGGCTGGTTTGATTGTGGTGGCATATTTGGTGTCAAGGCTAAGTGAGGACATAATTATAGTGAGGTTTCCAATGGTGGTGGATACCACAAGCACTGGTTCCTTTGCCCGGGTGTCTTTGAGGAAGGTGGAGAATCTCCCAGCCATCTTGGTCTCTCAGACTCTGTGTTTAAAGACAGGTTCTCATCACATAACCCTGGCTGGCCTGGATCTCCTAGAGATCTGCCTCTCTGCTTCATGAGTGCTGGGATAAGAATGATGTGTGCCATACCTAGCTACTTGTATGTATTTTGAAGTTTGTTATAGCCTCTCAGTAAATCAACTTTTTTCATACCTGGTGACAGTCTTTACCCTTACATGTACTTGGTCCAATGTGAAAATATCCATTGTAGGTCTTTTGATTGGTGTTAATATGGTTTGTCCTTTTTGTTATGGTAAAAGCTTCACTCCAGCCCCTGGCATCCGTATACCCAAAGAGTCTGGAATGTTATGGTGGAAGTTCTACACAGGCTTCCTCCCCTATCTCCCTCTAAGCCCTGCTGCATCTCAGAAAGCCCACCAAATGATGGCCCCTACCCCCAGAGATGCTCAAAACCACTCCCACGGGGTATTTAAACTGCCCCCCAGAAAACATTCTAGTGGTTTCCCAGTCTTTCTTTCCTGTCTCCTCTCTGGGGGGCTGGAAGGCCATCCGGGAGCTGTGTATCCATTAAACATAGGCTTTTTAAAAATTAGGTTTGATTTTGTCTGATTGGGATTGCTGTATTGTCAGAGAGGCTTATCAGGGTGTAGAAACTTAACTTCCACCATAACACTTTTTCCATTTCTTCCTTAACCAATTTGGTTTTCATATTTAAAGTTCATCTCTCACATAGTATACAGGTAGGTCATCTAAAAATATTTATTGATTTCTATTTTATGTGTATGGAGATTTTGTTTTGTGCATGGATGTTTTGCCTGCACTTATGTCTATGAATAATTTGCATGCAGTGTCTTCAGAGGCCAGAAAAGGCTACTGGTTCCTCAGAACTACATTTACAGATATTTGTAAGCTGCCTTATGGGTGCTGGGAATCAATGCCAGGTCCACTGCAAAAACAGCCAATGCTCTTAATCATTAAGTCATCTCTGCAGGTCATTTAAAAAATACACTTTGTAGACCGGGTGGTGGCAGCACACACTTTTAATCCCAGCTCTTGGTAGGCAGAGGCAGGCACATCTCTGTGGGTTTGAGGGCAGCCTGATCTATAGAGCTAGTTCCAAGACAGGCTCCAAGTCTACACAGAGAAACTCTGTCTCGAAAAGCCAAAAAAGGAAAAGGAAGCCGGGTGGTGGTGGTGCACGCCTTTAATCCCAGCACTCGGGAGGCAGAGGCAGGCGGATCTCTTTGAGTTACAGAGAAACCCTGTCTCGAAAAACCAAAAAAAAAAAAAAAAAAAAAAAAAAGAAGAAGAAGAAAAGGAAACAAATACACTTTATCAAGCTAAGCAGTGGTGACAGGCTTCTTTAATCTCAGCACTCGGGAGGAGGTGAATCTCTGTGAGTTTGAAGTCTGTCTGGTCTACAGAGCAAGTTTCAGGACAGCCTGGGTTGTTACAACGAGAAACCCTGTCTCTAAAAGCAAAAGCAACAACAAAAACACCTTAAGACTTGCTTGGTCTACATACTGAGATACAGGCCAGCAGCATAAATAGTGAGGTCCGGTCTCAAACAACAATTAAAAAAGAAACAAACCTAAAACAAAACACCCCCCTCAAATTAGCATTCATATCCACCACCAACACCACCACCACCCACCCCAACCCTCCATTGGTGCAAATGAATGTAGGGCTTCACTCATGGTAGGTAAGTGCTTGACCACTAAGCTGTACTCCCAACCCAAGCCATTCTCTGTCTCTGTCTCTGTCTCTGTCTCTGTCTCTGTCTCTGTCTCTGTCTCTGTCTCGGCAAGTGGTTTGTGTGTGTGCATGTCTATGTACCACATGTATGCCTGGTGTCTGAAGAGGTGAGATGAAGGTACCAGATCCCCTGTATCTAGAGTTACAGATGGCTATGAGCCACCATGTGGTTATTGGTAATCAAACTCAAGTCCTCTGGAAGAGCAACCAGTACTCTTAATCACTGAATCATCTCTCCAGTCCTTGTTTATTTTGTTTTGTTTTTGTTTTAAGATTTAATATTAGCCAGGTTATGGTAGCCCATACCTTTAATCCCAGCACTCAGGAGGCAGAGGCAGGCAGATCTCTGTGAGTTCAAGGCCAGCCTGGTCTATAGAGCGAGTTCCAGGACAGTTCTACACAGAGAAACCCTGTCTTGAAAAACAAAACAAACAAACAAACAAAACAACAAAAAATATTTTTTAAAGATTTATTATGTATACAGTGTTCTGCCTGCACGTATGCCTATATGCCAGAAGTGGGCACCAGATCTCATTATAGATGCTTGTGAGCCACCATATAGTTGCTGGTTGCTGGGAATTGAACTCAGAACCTCTGGAAGAACAGGCAGTGTGCTCTTAACAGCTGAGCCATCTCTCCAGTCCTCCCCCCCAAAAAAAAAAAGATTTAATTTTCCCACATGTATATAATGTGTTTCAATCAAATCCACCTCCATCCCCTCCTCTCTAATTCCTCTTTTATTGATCAGCCACTACTTTTCTCTCCCAAATTTGTGTACAGGTGTGTCTCTCTCTTTCAAATACCCACTGAGTGCATTTGGTGTTGCCTGTATGAGTGTGGGTACAGGGCCATCTTCTCAAACACAGGAGCCTACCTGGGCCTGAACCCTTGAAGACAACTGACCTTACCACTTCAGCAACTGCGGCGCCACCGCCACTAGCAAGTCCAGGGTATCAGGAAAAGAGAGACCAGACATCCAGCTGTTTGTACTAAGAGAATACATGTGTTGCCTTTATTGCCAGGAGAATGTGTATGTGTGTGTCTTCATTGCAAGTGCTAAGAGGTCTCTCTCTTGTAAGAGGGAGGAGCTTTATATACATGTTTACAGCACAGTGGAAAAACCCCAGGTAGAAGAGATCGTTGTTTTCCTCCTGCTAGATGTTGATGTCAGAGGGTCAAGGCCAGGGCAGTAAGCCAGGACTAGAACACAGGAAGCACTTGGACTGGAAAACAAGTTGCACTTGTAGACTGACCAGCAACTCACAGAGACGCTGTGGGGCTGGGACCCAACAAGCAACCATTACCTGGGGGTAGAGTTCATGAGATCCTTTCCAGTCCAATCTGACATAGTCTTTTCATTTGGGGTGTTTACATAACTGAAGTTTAATGTGATTATTGATTTATCAGCTTACATTATGTATGTGCGTCTCTCATATATGTACCTGTATTTGTAGGTGCACATGCCTTTGCTCATGTAAGAACTAGGTACCTACTCTACCATTCTCTGCCTTATTCCCTTGGATCAGGGTATCTCACTGAACCTGGAATGAGGCTGGAGGCCAGCAAGCCACAGTGAGCCTCCTGACTCACCTCCATAGTCCTGTGGTTACAGACGTGCACATGGCTTTTCCCATGGACGCTGGAGATTTGAACTCAGGTCCTAATGCTTGTACAGTATTGTGCTCCTACCCACTGAGTTATCTCCCCAGCCCTAAGCATATCACTATTACTATTTGTGGTTTATTCATATCATTAGCTCTTTGTTCCCTTTTTTACTCTGTAATGAGCATTCTTCCTGCCAGCCTGGTCCCAGAGCCACATCTGCCCCAGATAACACACAGAGACTCTATTAGTTACAATACTGTTGGTCAATGTCCAGGGCTTCTCATTGGCTAGTTCTGTCTTAAGTTTTAACCCATAACTGCCAGGCTTTGGTGGCACACACCTTTAATTCCAGCACTCAGGAGGCAGAGGCAGGTGGATCTCTGTGAGTTCGAGGCCAGCCTGGTCTACAAGAGCTAGTCCCAGGACAGCCTCCAAAGCCACAGAGAAACCCTGACTCAAAAAAAAAAGTATTTCAGGTATCTGTCCAGACAGCCAGATATCTCTGTCATTTCTAGAGTTTTTGGAAACTACTTACAATATACTTCTTGTTTATATCCTTCTGGGATCTTTGATGGTGTTAAATTATAGTTATAATTATAGTTTTCCTTAATTATGACAACAGATAAATTAGATATAAAACTTTAGTCTTACAAAGATAAAATAGATGATAGGGTATTTATTTTTGCCAAATACAAATGGACTAAATATGATAACTATAATTCTTACTTGAGACCTGTTTTGTTATATGAAATTTTACTATGTTAAAATTAAAACCTTCTGGCCAGGCATTGGTGGCCCACACCTTTAAATCCCAGCACTCAGGAGGCAGAGGCAGGAGGATCTCTACAAGTTTGAGGCCAACCTGGCCTACAGAGAGTTCCAGGACAGGCTCCAAAACAAGAGAAACCCTGTCTTGGGAAAAAAAAGTTAAAAACTTCCTTTTTAATTAGATAAAAAAGAAGAGGTGATGTGGGATGTCCTTCTGTATGCTGCAAATATGTGTTGCTTTTTTTTTTTTTTTTTTTGGTTTTTCGAGACAGGGTTTCTCTGTATTGTTTTGGAGGCTGTCAGTCCAGCCTGGCCTCGAACTCACAGAGATCCGCCTGCCTCTGCCTCCCGAGTGCTGGCATTAAAGGCATGCGCCACCACCGCCCGGTATGTGTTGCTTTTATAGGTTGATAAATCTGATTTGGCCAATGGCCTTGGGTGGAATCAGACGCTATGTAGACGCTGGGGAAGCAAGATGTGAGGTAACAAGCATGAGCCTCGTGGAAAATATATGTTAGAAATGGGCTAATTTATATGTAGAGTTAGCCAGTAAGAAGCCTGAGGCGTTGGCTTAATAATTATAACTAATATTAAGCCTCTGAGTGGTTATTTAAGTTATTTAGGAACTGGCCGGGTGGGACAGAAAAACATCAAACTATAAGAAACCCTGTCTGAAAAAAAAAAAAAAAAGAAACCCTGTCTGAAAAGACCCAAAATAAAAATAGATAAATAGATGGATAGATAGATAGATAGATAGATGATAGATTGATCAAGCATGGCAACACAATTTTAATCCCAGCACTTGGGAGGCAGAGGCAGGCAGATCTCTGTGAGTTCAAGGTTAGTCTATCTACATAACAAGTCCCAGGTCAGCCAG